AAGATGTCCCTTGCAACAGATAACTTACTTCTTCTATAATAATGTGTCTGCGTAGTAAATGAAGATGTCCCTTGCAACAGATAACTTACTTCTTCTATAATAATGTGTCTGCGTAGTAAATGAAGATGTCCCTTGCAACAGATAACTTACTTCTTCTATAAAATAATACACGTAGAACAGTATGATATTTTATGCATAACTGACTTCTCTATTCTTCAGATTTTTACATTGTTTTTAAGCTACGGAAGTTTTAAGAACAACACATCGTTCTGTCAACATCAAGGTTTTGTTAATAAAAGAAAACTGGAGCAGAGTGAATTCAATGTCGCGATTCTGCTTATCGGAAAGCTTAGTTAGCCATCGTTTTGGGCAACCCAGTCTCAGTTCTCACTTTATTTGACGAGAATCTTGGCTTAGAAAGTACAGAATCCATTTACTTAAATGTTGTGTTTGGTTTTAAGTGTTTTAAACTATAGTTGCAGTTAAATGAAATTCAGCATAAGATGATTTTCGTTTATTTTGCTAGCTTTGTTGTTAATAGACAGTTTTTAATTACGTTCAGTAAGAGAAAAGAGAAATGAGTACTTTAACAGAGAAAAAACAGTATTGTCTGTTCATATCCCATTAGAACATGCTAAATGTAAATCTGCTTGTGTTAAAAAATAAAAAAGGAGCAGTAAAAACAAGGAAATTCTCGCTTTGTGAGCAGGTTCTTTAAGTCATATTATACTATAAGGTTCTCGGTTCCTTACTTAATTTATTTTCTCACTCTTCTATTCAGTGTGTTTTTCATTTCACTTGTTGTCCTGCGATTTGAAAGCTTTACCTAATTCACGTTTAAGCCTAAATATATCAAGTTCATAATTTCAGTATTCTTTTATATATCTTAATAATTTTAATTCTACCATTAATTATTTATGTTTCAACTGTATAGTTTTATATCTTTTTTTCCCACTCGTATAACCTTTAACCACGTTTCATGATAGTTTTACCCGTATATGTATTTTCTCCATGTTTGGATTACAACTGTAATTGAATTGTATTCTATCAATTAAAGCTGTCTACTTGTATACAGTAACTTATGTATCTAAGCGATATTAGCACTTTACTTGCTTTTCAGTCTTGATATCTACATGTGAACTTTCTAACATAGGTTTCTTCGTTAAATTTCAATAGCAAACTACATAATGGAGAGGTTATAACTTTCTAAACAATAACATTTTATGTTTTGTTTGTTTGTTTTTGAATTTCG